GAGTGATGCAGATACGAAAGAGTTTAAGGCAAGCATAAATATTATAAAGATTGATAACCCAAATGAATTTTTCATGGATATGATACCAACATCAAATCATATATCAGACGTCACCCTATCCCCACTGGATTTTGAAGAAGCCATAAACAGTATGCCTATGCACTCTGCACCAAGCCCGGATTCTTGGAACTCCATATTCATAAAGAACTGTAAAAAACCACTATCGCAGGCCCTCCACATTCTGTGGAGACAAAGCCTAGATACTGGCGTTATTCCTGATATACTAAAAACAGCAGAGGTAGCACCACTTCATAAAGGAGGAAATAAGGCAGAGGCAAAAAATTACAGACCGATAGCACTAACATCGCATATCATAAAAATTTTTGAGAGAGTGCTAAGAAGTAAGATCACAAAAAAATACATGGAATCACAGCATCTCCATAACCCCGGACAACATGGTTTCAGAACAGGGCGCTCTTGCCTGTCGCAGTTGCTGGACCACTATGATATGGCATTAGATGCTATGGAAGACAAACAAAACGCTGATGTAATTTACACAGATTTCGCAAAAGCTTTTGATAAATGTGGCCATGGTGTTATTGCACATAAAATGCGTTCAAAAGGAATTACCGGAAAAATAGGCAGCTAGATCTACAATTTCCTGACCAACAGAACCCAATGTGTAATAGTCAACAAAATAAAATCCAGCCCATCAACCGTGAAGAGCTCAGTCCCCCAGGGTACTGTGCTTGCTCCAGTACTTTTTCTCATCCTCATATTGGACATAGACAAGAACACAACCTATAGCACTGTATCATCCTTTGCAGATGACACTAGGATCTTCATGAGAGTAGGCAACAATGAGGACACGGCAAACCTCGAGTCAGATGTAGATCAGGTCTTTCTATGGGCTACAGAAAATAATATGGTGTTTAACGAAGATAAGTTCCAGCTCATGCGCTATGGAAAAAATGAAAATATAAAAATGGAAACCACGTACAAAACTCAGGCAAATCATAACATAGAACGAAAAGGCAATGTAAAGGATCTGGGTGTACTCATGTCGGAAGACCTTACCTTTAAAGAACACAATAAAGTAGCCGTCACAACTGCAAGAAAAATGACAGGTTGGATAACAAGAACTTTTCACACTAGAGATGCTATACCGATGATGATACTTTTCAAAACGCTTGTGCTCTCTAGAGTGGAGTACTGCTGCACAATGACAGCCCCTTTCAAAGCTGGAGAAATTGCTGACCTGGAGAGCATGCAGAGATCCTTTACTGCTAGAATCCACTCAGTAAAACATCTAAACTATTGGGACCGACTAAAGAGCCTAAAACTGTACTCCCTTGAGCGCAGGCGGGAGAGGTACATAATAATTTACACGTGGAAAATATTAGAGGGGCTGGTCCCAAACCTGCACACAGAAATAACATCACATGAGACCAGAAGACATGGCAGGATGTGCAGAATACCCCGGTTGAAAAGCAGAGGTGCAACAGGTACTCTGAGAGAGAACTCTTATCAACATCAGAGGCCCGAGACTGTTCAACACGCTTCCACTACACATAAGGGGCATAACTGGCCGACCCCTCACAGTGTTCAAGAGAGAACTGGATAAGCACCTCCAAAGGATACCTGATCAACCAGGCTGTGACTCATACGTCAGGCTGCGAGCAGCCGCGTCCAACAGCCTGGTTGATCAGTCCGGCAACCAGGAGGCCTTGTCGACGACCGGGTCGCGGGGACGCTAAGCCCCAGAAGCACCTCAAGGTAACCTCAAGGTAAGCAGGGGCTGGTTTGAAAAATTTAGAAGGAGAAGTGGTATCCATAGTGTTACAAGGCATGGGGAGGCAGCCAGCTCAGACAAACCAGCCGCTGGACAATTTATTGAGGAATTTAAAGATAATAAGGTCATCAAACTTTTAATTTGTCACTAACGAATCTCCACAAAAAATATCAATACTAAAAGACAAAACACTAGCCTAACTTAACTATACCGTTCCTAATCTTACGTACTTAAACAGCCGTTACTCCCACCCTTAACCTACAGCCACCTACGTGACCCAGAGTGTTTCCCTAGCTTCTCCGCCGGTCAACAACTCAAAACTTTTGCCACCCCTGTGACCAGACTATCTAACGTCGAGCGTCCCCAACGTGAAGTCTACTGACATACTAAGCCTCCCCCTAGCATGCTGTACAATACCAGTACACCTCGGATTATTGCGTTCAAAAGGAGTAAAACAGTCGATCGCAATAATTTGGGCAGAACCACAACTTAAACTACTTAAGAACTACACCTGCCACTCCCCAACTGACCTGGGGACCAGCGGTGGCTGGGTGTCCCTCTGGGACATGCGAGGTCACCTGTCACACTCAGCTGAGCTCCACTACAACACACTGAAGTTCCCAAATCACCAAATCTTATCACTAACATAAATCACTACACACGCAAGGTCTGGTGAACATTCCCTGAACTTCACAAAACTCCCAAAATCACTAAACCACATCGCCAGAGAATCACTATCTCCTAACCTGAAAAAAACTCGCTAACTCGCGAATATTAAACACCTGTCACGATCTCCCTGATAGCGCCTGAACGGCAAAAGACACGTGGGACTGAACAATGTTAAATGAACACTACCATAAACATTGTTCAACACCGCTGCCAACATTGTAAAGGGGGGGTGGGGGAAATAGCTCTATCTTGTCCATTATACCACCCCCCAGTTAACTAACGAGGCTGGGGGAAACAGCTTTCTCTAGTCCGTTATCCCGTCCTCAGTTAGCTAACTATTCTAGAGCACTCCCAGAGTTCCTAAGGCAACCTCTCTCGTTCAACACCTTGTAACCTAGGTATTTGACTACCTAGGTGCTAAGACTACAAGGCGCCGTAACTTGATCCGCTACCTGAAACTCTAGAGAGAACTCTAGAATACATTTCACTGCCACAAACGTATAAGAGAAAACGAAAGGAAAGAAATGAATAGTGAAGTAATTAGTGAGGGTTTGGGGTGAAAGGCAGAGAGGTGGGAGGAGCGAGGAGGGCCATTAGTTGAAAGTGAGAGTTTAGAGAGGGGTGGAGGGAGAGGAGTAGATAGGTAGAAGTAGAAGAGTAGATAGTAGAAGTAGAAGAGTAGATAGTAGAAGACGAAATGCTGCCACCATCCATTCAAGACCATTTCATACAAGACAAGGAATGGAACTTGTCTGTATCACAATATTCACAAAAGATGTTATCAAGAGGTCATTATTAGTATGTCTCATCTTTATCATGTACTCATTCTAAACCATGAAACCAGTAACCACAGAGGCTTTCTCACCTCAACTCAAAACTCTCTAGGGAACAAAATAAAGTCCATTTAAATAATAAATTCAACAATTATATTTTTCATGATGTATCATACTTTAAGCAATTCGATTAAAATGTTAAAGATTAATACAGTATTCAAAGTGAGTCATCCTCCAAGAATCTGAGAACACCACAACTGACTGCCCCTGATCATCACACAACACTTGTAAAACACGACCAAGTCACCTTAATGTTCAACTCACCAAGTGTGTGCCTATAGCTGGATAGAGGGGGGGGTGTCTATAGTTGACAGAGACTGTCCCGCCCTGCCGGCCGACAGCCACCCTGCTAGGGCCGTCTCCTCTGCTCTGCTGACTGCTGTTCTGTCTGTCTTGTTAATGCTTTCGAATTGATAGCTCTCCGAGTATATATTGGGGAACCTAGTAGCTAACTCCGCCCACAAGTAGATAGCCTCCGGCTCTCTACCAAGCCACTCCTTAAACGTCGGCATGTTTGAAGGCTACCAGGCTCCAATTATAAGATTAGCAGAAGTAAGGTGAAATTCACATGATCTGACCTCAGGTCACTTGGGGTCATTAACTCTTAGAGGTGTGAAACTCAGGCCGACCAAGCTGGCGCCCTCTCAAATTCCTGTCTGTGACTCATGTACTCTATGTATGTATTAAATACAAATAAACCAAACACTTTTACAGTGTTACACGGTCGATGGCAGACATAGAATGCTTCCAACCACACGGGGGTTTCTATAGGCCATTGCTCCCCTTGCCTCTCTAAGGGGGCCAGGTTCTGGCCGTGGTCCCCGGTAGGCCCTAGAACTCCATACACATGACTGATGCCAAAGTCTGACATTAGCATATCAGCCGGTAAAGCTCCGGGGAGCCTCCGGGTCTCACCCAGAAAATGGCGTTTCATTACATTCAACGCTGGTTTTTTCATCTTAAGTGCTGCCTCCTCTCCTTCCTGGTTAGTTCCCTTGTATTCTCCCTGGTTAGTTGCAGGGAGCCACAAAGGGCTTCCTCCAAAAACCCACTGTTGAGTGTAATGAAATGCCAATTTCTGGAGAAGGCCAGGTGGCTCCCTGGCACCCTTCCTCCATCCTGGTTCATTGGATCATCGTAGGTTTGTTCATCTTATTCAGAACTAACGGAGGGTAGCCAGCTGGTGGTGGTAATCAGTGAATCATTTTGAGTGAATCCCTTGTTCTATGTGAATCATTTGCGGAGGTTGTTTGGCAGTTTTGAGGCTTTGTTATCTTTGAAACCTCCAGTTTTCTATAAAAGCTACACACACATTCTGGAGGCTTTTTCTGGAGGAATGGCAGCTTGTCACCTACTCCCTGTGCCTCTTATGAGGGGGGCCAGACTTTGGCTCTGGTTCCTAGTAGGCCAAACAGAACTTATGCAGCTGATGTGACATTTTAGTATGAAGCAATCTCTGGAAGATATTTTCAAGGAACCACAGAGGCTTTTCCAGAAATTGGCATTTCATTACTTTCAATGATGGGTCACTAGAACCTGATCTATTTTTTCCCTACACTGTATAGTACTCTAAAATTTCAGTTTGCTCTGCATATGATTTTTCTAGGAACAGCCCTCATACAGTTACAAAAAGCATTGTTGCACATAAAATTATAGTGTTTGTAGTATTGTACAAAATTATTCATGAATTTTGTCATGTTTTACAGAGGAGAATCTGAAGAAAGTGTATCTGATGCTGTATAATCTGTGGCAGCTTGTTGGCTTTATATATGTCATGTCTGTGATGAGCACACGGTACCTCAGAGACGGGCCAGGTGAGCATACAAATTTACTTTTTACTATTCTTAAAATAATAGTTAATTTAACTTTGTTCGGTTCAAGATTTTTTAAATTTGTCAAACATCTAATTAAGAAATATGTCTTATGGTTTTGTTATTTTTCTGTGGGGAGCCCTGTCAGCTCCCTGAAGTTATCAAACTAATTAACCATTGCACTGCACAGAGTGCCTTAAGGCGCCGAATTGGGGGTGCGCAGTGCGCCATATGACACTTTTAGGCATAGGGAATGATTCCAAATTCCAGTGGGTACACGGGGCTCACATCCTGTGCCTCAGACTCCAGGAAACAGAAGCCATCTTGAGAAAAATCGTCAGCAACCATTCTAGTCGAGTGTGTCTCGGTACTGAGAGAGCGACCAAGACTGTTGCATGCAGGAGCAGCTCACAGCACCACTTAATAATGATGAATAAAATAGGTAACTAATTATTTTGCATTGATAGTTTCATAGATGATCTGACTTTGATAAAGACTATGTACAACATTCAGATATCAGTGAATACAATGCTTGATATGATATTCACAGCATGAGGAAGCACCCAGCCATTGTTTCCTACATCTCAACATCAAGAAACGATTCGTATTTGGGATTTTGTGACAGGAAAATGGTAATAACAGCACTTTTGTAGCTAGTCATAGCAAGATGTGTAGAATATTGGAGGCATTACTGGTGTTGTCTGCTTGAATCATGTGGTAACATGCTGTGTTTAGATTTCATCACTATACCCACCTGAACGCAAGCAGGAGCGGCTCCGCCAGCACCACCCAATACAAGGTGACAGGACACAGTCCCAGACGACGGTCCCGGAACATCCCCGAAGGGAAGTCAAGCCAACCCTATCAAAGACCGAAGAACCCTTTGCAGTGATTGGAAACCCGGAAGGACCGCCAGGAAAACCATACACCGCCCCAGAGATGAAACTCACTCCAGGACTCACCCAGAAAATGGTGTTTCATTAGATTCAACGCTGGTTTTTTAAAATAAGAATGTTTTGTTGATATGGAGAACAGCTCCTAATAACTGGAACTGAAGAATTAAGCAGTAATAGAGAGAGATGCAAGCACCTGTCCAACACTCAAAGAAGAAGAATAGTAGTCAGAAGTGTCCACAAAGTGGATATGCAGTTGGTGCCTTTATATCATTGTTGAGTAATACATTATAACACAAATAATAATGAGTAACTATATTAATATGCTCTATTTTGTTATATATTATATAAATACATTGTCCAACGTTAAGATACGTTACTTTCATCAATGTCCCAAAAAAAATTTTTTAGGGGATTTTTTTTTTTTTTTTTTAAGATTTTAGTTTTTTCTCCTTTGTTTATTATTTGATTTCGTTGTAACCTTTACATCTTGGAGAATGCATGTGTTTCTCTAACTATGTTAAGATAGAATGAAATTGGTCAACAATTAAATTAGTCACAACTCGCAAAACTTGGGACTTTTAATTTTTGGGGGCTGATTTTTTCTCTGAATTCAAACTTTTTTTTGTCTCTTTAGGTTGTTTTGATGATTAGGGACCATATTAGGGATTTTTCACTTATATAATGTATACCCTAAATATATCCCCTAAATCATTATAATTATTATAATTATCCCTATATTTTGTGTTTTTTGGGGTTATTTTTTCTTGACTTCATTTCCACACATATTGACCTACAACTTTCACATATTCAAGTATGAATGCTAAACAATGTTTATTAACCCCTTAACTGCTCGGCTTCCAAATATGACACCACCCAGTGCGCAGGAAATAAATTCTCAGGAAAAAAATTCTTTTTTTGTTCTGAAAGTGTCAAAACCCTTCCCTGAGTATGGGTATAGTAACAGAAGATCAAAATTGTATGTACTTTGGCAGCTATGGGATCCGTAAGGTCACGCGTGACGTCATAATTCCCTGGTCGCCTGTGGCGGACGCCCCCTGGGCCGGTAGGGCGCCCAGGGCAGGTTGCGCGAGTTGCCGCGAATATATTTTTGTTCATTTTTTTGCGCAGTTCCAAATACATTTTTTATTTGTTTATTCGTGCCAATCCTATGTATAACGAACACTTACACTATATTATGGCAGTAGAACATCTGTACTGTCCGAAGACACTGTGTTACGTGCATGACACATATGTACACATATGTTGCACATATTTCCCATGCATCATGCTAATTTATGTATATATACAATCTATTTACACACTATACACTATCACACACTACATACATTCACCATCAACACACTCAGAACTCCGGGAGTGTCAGCTGCCACTTCCTCACTCCTCCAACATCGTGTCTCCCTTACTCCTTCAACATCTTACTCCCCAACATTGCTCCTCCCACCATATTGATATTGTTTTTATTACATTATTTACACATGTTATGTATACCTATCTACATGTTTTATTCACCAGAACTATGCAAGTAAGCCAGTATTGTGTCCAAACTTTACAGTGGCCACCATACACTGCATGAGAAATTACACAACAGCCAGTAGATGACGCTACGATTACGTCACCTCCCTCACCAAAACAGCTCCTCCCAACACATTCCTGTTGCTGTTATTACACTATATACACACATTGTATATACCCATGTACAAATGTGTTCACCATAGCGAACCACTAAGTCTAAATGTACCACTCATCACTAAATATGATGAGCAAAACGAGAGTGGCTGCCACACACACACACAGTGAGGCTACCTCAATTCTCTCCCTCACCACAATTCCTCCTCCCACAATACTACGTACAGTGCTTATTATCACCACAATCCTGCTGTTATCACAATACTGGTCACTAAATCCTGTAAATGAATAATTGACCGCATGTTTATTTTGAAAAAGAACCTAGGAAGTCGTCTGAAGATTCCTAGATGGACGAAATAATGCTGTGGTGCTGTGGCTTGCACTGTGAACATCGTGAACAGCATTGAATTATTGATATTTGAACATTGTACACAGTCATTATCACACTCAGGCTCTTCTGTAAGACTATCATGGCTAAATAATACAAGTTATATATGTATATTTTGACATTATTAGGTGATGCTGTGGTCACAAGCTGAACAGCAGTGCTGTGAGCTCATGCTGTGTGCACCAGCCTTGGTTGCTCACTCAGTACTAAGGCTCTCACACCCGGGAATATGGCCCACGATTTTTTTTTAAAGAATACAAACCCAGGCCAAAGTGCTCGCAAAGTTCCGGGTGAGTGTCTTACCACTGCACAACGGAAACTGCTGTTGTGTTTTAATAAACAATTTAATTTGCAGTACATTCAGTAGTTTTATTCTTGTATAATAAAAAATATTTGTAAATGTTAAAATGTTGTAAATCTATTTCCCCCAGATGATTCTTAGCATTATTCTACATTATTTGGTTCTACAAAATTTGTATGAAATTGGTTTTATCAGTTTTAAAACATCAAGTTTTAACATTAAATTTTATGTAAAACATTAGTTTCAGATAATAACTGATAATAACATATACTGTACTAATAGATTCCATGGAGGGAACATACGAGGCTGTCGGATGGATGATGCACCTTTGTCTAATGACACAGTTCCTTGAAGTGCTTCATCCAATTGTTGGGTACACAAAAGGATCTGTTTTTGAGGCTATAGTTCAGGTATGAATTTGTACTGCAGTAACTATATTTTATTCTATATCTTTAATTTTGTCTTCCTAATTATATGCTAGGTTGGACCACCATGAGATATAAATTACAATGCTTAGCTATGTGGAGATATTTGGAAAAAATATGTAAAATTGTTTTGTCTTATTAAACTTCTTCATATTGGTTTAAGTTCGATTTTTTCATTAGTAAATTTACAAATAAAGTTTTAACATTTAATCCTTGATACATTTAGCTATGGTTAATATGGATGTCATAAATACATTGTATATTAATCCATTTTAGAATTATTAACCCTTAAACTGCTCAGCATAAGGGGGGGCATAATTCAAAAAATATTTGAATTATGTAAAAATTCCTTAAAATGTTAAACAAATCTCCAACTTGTTGGCTTCAGCGTCGTGAAACTTTCATCAATATATTTTCAGAAATTTATTTTAGGCGAATATTTAAAAAAAAAAAAAGTTTTATTGATAAAGAGAATAGCTCATATTAACAAGAACTTATGGATAATGCAATAATAAAAAGATGTGAGCACCTGTCCGATGCACAAAGAAGAATAGTAGTAAAAAGTGTACACAAGGTGGATATGCAGCTGGTGCCTTTGTATCATATGTGAGTAATACATAATAACACAAAAAATTATGAGTAAGTATGGTAATATTCTCTATTTTGTTATATATTATATAAATAAATTGTATAAAGTTATTATCAGTTACTTTCAACAATGTCCAAAAAATATTTTTTTTAGGGGAAATTTTGTTGCTTAGGTTTTGAGTTTTTTTCTACTTTGTTTATTATTTGAATTTGTTATAACCTTTACAACCTGGAAAGTGTATATCCATCCCTAACTATGTAAAGACAGAATTAAATTAGTCAACAAATAAGTCAGTCAAAACTTTCAGAATTTGGGACTTGGAGTATTTTTTCGCTAATTTTTTCACAGATTTCAAACTCTATTTTCCTTGTTTCTTTAGGTTGTTTTGATGATTTGGAACCAGATTAGGGCTTTTCTGAGGGAAGCTCCTACGGCTCTCTGGAGCTTATCGGGCTAATGTATGTAATATTAGACCGGGATATTAGCTATGGAGTTGAGACCTACCAGGGACCATGAGCCAGAACCTGGACCCCTTCAGAGAGGTTTCAGGGAGCAATGGCCCTGGAAAGCCCCCCCCCCCTGTGGTTGAGGGTTTTCCTTATCTGCAATCGACCGGGGTTAGGCACCCAGAAAGGTAGGCATTACAAAACAAATTCCACATGGTAAGAAACTAACAACAAAAACCGAACAGAGAGATAGTACTCCCTACAATCCCAAGGAAACAAGCAAACGTAACAAACTACTGCCACCGTGCAGCCCTCCCCTCCCCAAGAGGGGGAGGGGGGGGCCCCCCCTGGACCTCTGCATAGCACTTTAGTTTGTAAGCTAATGTCAACCGGGACAGACGCTTCTCTGGCCTCAGTTTCCTTGGTGGTGTTTGCCTTCGTGGCGCTCACTGCCGTGTTTTGTGTTTTGTGGCCAGGTGTTCCTCATCAGTTCCAGGGCTGCATACACTTAGGGGCGTCCTTCCCTAAGTGCCCTGTTAGTACTTCCCCTGCGTGACGGTTATCTTCCCTGGGGCATTCAGGAAACATTCCTGTAGAGGTTCATGCTGCTCGGCATTTGCCTCGCCCTTGGTGCCAGCTGGGGCTTGGGGTCCTTGTTTGGCCTTGGGTAGGGACTGGTATTGTGCTGGTTAGGGCGTCAAGGTGTTGCGTGACCTGCTACCTACGCGGCGACCGATACCTGTTGCCTGTGGGGATGGTGTACTTTTGCGGGGGTTTTCTTTTGTTTTTATTTTCATTTGCCTGGGGGGAAATCTACCTAGTGTGGGTATAGTTCCACTGGTAGTGTTTGGTGGCCCTTTGCTAGGCCCCCGTGATTGTACACATCGCAGGGGTTTTCAGTGTTATCCTCTACCCCCTTGTTAGTTTTGGGTTTTAACCGGTTAGCAACACCTTGCCTGGGCTTCCCGTAGTTGTTAGCCTATGGGCCCTGGAAACCCCTGTCGGGGCTCTGTGGACCATTGAATGTGTCTTCCGGGTTCCAGCCCGTCTTGTACAGGATCGTTGGTTGCTGTGCCCTTGTCTCCTGGTGACAGTCTCCACTTTTACCTCCGTCATGTTGCCTGTTGGGTCCCTGACACCTTGACCCGGAGTCTTGCGAGAAATATTCTCTGCATGTTCTCCAGTACTCTCCTGATGTTATTACTGTTCAGAGTACAGGTGGCATCCGTGTTGCAAGCTGGGTTAGGTTGCTGCAACATGCAAGGTTGGTTTCCCACTCGGATGCCCCGGGGCCATCCCATTTTGGTTAGGTGCTGTTCGCCCCTTTCCCTCCCTGTTCTCGGCTCCGGACTGTTTGCGGGTTTCGGGGTCGGGGCAGAGTTTAATTGGGGCCGAGACTCCGGCGGTTTCGGGGGCTGCCCCATTCGGGTTGGGGACGGAGGTTTTCGAGCCTGTTCCTCCTGCCAAGGCTTCTGGGTCTTACCAGTGGCCCTTTCTTGCTGCCTTTCCCATGGACTCTTCCTTTTCTTTAAGGGTGGAGGACTTGGAGGACGGTTCTGCTCCAGGACCTCTGTTGCGGGTTCCCGGGGCTGTGGGGGATGCCTGCTAGCAGTTCTGGGGCTGTTTGCTCCTGCCAGGTTTTCTGCTTCTGGGTGGAGTTTTTCGCCCATCCAGTCTGCTTGCTTCCCACTTTTGCTGGCGTGTTTTCGTATCTTTTGCGTCGGTCACAGCCCCCTGTTCTGGTGGGCATTTTCTTCTGCCGGTTACCCGGCGTGGCCACCAGGGTGACATTGTGGTTTGTTTACGTGCGCCTAGGTGTGTGAGCGAACAAATTTGGTGAGTTTTTTCACCTTTTTCAGAGGGTTTTATTCTCCTGTTGTCATCTATTTGCTTTTCTGGTGTTTTCTGCCCGTCTTCTGTTCCTCTGGGAACGTTTGAGTGTTTATTTTACACCGGGTTTTCCGTTTTGTCTGTTTTGGGTCTGGGCCCTAGGGTTTGGGCTCAGTGTCCCTGTCTGTTATGCTTCCTCCCACACCTTGTCCCTCGGTTTTCGGTCTGTTTTGCCCGTTTCCCTGGGGGTTCTGTCTGGGGGCTGTGCTTTGCCTTTCTGTGGTGTTTCTCCACCAGCAAATGTGGTGGTTTGGGCTTCCCCTGGTTCGATTCCGGGTTCCTTTGGCTTCTTTGGTTTCGTTCCAGAGGTTTCATCCTCTTGGACCTTTATGGGTTCAGGGGGCTTTGTTTCCTCATGTGTGACCCAGTTCTGCCTTCTGGGGTTCCAGGTCTTCCTGGCTTACAGTGTAATGATCTGGGGCTCAGATCATTGGTTCTCCCTTCTCCCCTCTTTTCCCTCTCCTTCTCCCCTCCTTTCCTTCTCCCTCTCCCCTCCTTCCTTCTCCCCTCCCCTTGGCCGTCATTCGTCTCCTCTCCTCTTCCCCCCCCCCCCTGTCGCCCATTTGTCAGGGTCAAGAGGTTGACCTGAGGGTAGGGTGGTCGTGGATACCTTGGCTTCTCCCACTCAATTCCCCACTCAGATATTTCCCTCTCCACCCCCTCTCATCCCTCTCTGTCCCTCTCAGCAGCGGCCTTCCCCATACCAGGCAGAGTCAAATGTCCCTACTCCTATCTTAGAGGAGACAGGCTTGAACATAAATTATCAGTTTTGTAAACATTGCTCGCAGGTGCCTGGGCTCCATAGACGCGCCTTGTCCCCCTTCTCTGTAGCTGGGGAGAGCTGACTCAATCTTCAGGAATTCATGTAGCTTTCCACGACAGATCAGTGAAGGTGATTGGCCTGAGATAAGGGCCAAGTCCTTATTGGCCCTAGAGTGCCAGACCTCAGGCCTACGTGTTAAATGGTTGGCCATTGCCAAAATAATGGGTGGAGCCTGGGGCTGTAGTAGATGGTGGGAGGAGTAATCCTTCCCAGCAATAGGTTGGAAAAACTAAATTTCATTAGTGTGTCTTGGGAGTGTATTAGGAACAGGGCCGCAAGCCCGTATCCTCGGGGCTGAGGGCAGCCATCAACATCTTGGCCGTGGTGCGGGTATTTAAGGTATAGTGCACTTGAGTTTTGTGTCCTCGGTAAATATCCATTGTGCCTCTAGGAAAATAGAATAGGTGATGTGTTCAAATTGTCTTAATTTACATGTTTCATAAAATAAATGGTATAGCTTGTCCAGTGGTATTCACTTAACTCCCCTTTGATATATTTTGCTACTTTGTCATTTTTAGGTGTTGTATTGGAAGCCCCCAGGTTCTCCTATCAATTAATCGATACTAAAGTTGTCCTTGGTTTTAAATTAGTAACGTAAATTACACAAACTAATTTTCCAAAAGTTATTACTGAAATTCATATTACCCGGAGTCCCATGGTGACTGATTCCTTGCCTTCCTGGGGGATCGGGGATTGTCACATTCAGGTATGGTTGGTCAGGAAGGTGGTGGCAGTGTAAATGTGTTTTGTTATTTTTTTTTTTTACTAATAACCCTTGTCCTTGGTGTATCTTCCTCATTTAATATTCCTCTTACATACGTGGCAGTCCAGTGAGGGGTCATACTGGACTGTAACAGTGTTAAGCTGGGGTATTGAGTGAAGAGACAGAGATGTACAACAGAGAGCGTATATTACGATCACGAGAGATAACAAGATAACAGGATTAATACTGGGGAACATCGGGTTATTACAATAGAGGCCGCGGTTATTACGACAGAGGGAAGCGGTCGTTACAATGGTAGCAGCGGTGTTTCAATAATTTCTTGACGATTATTGAAGCCTCACGCGTCTGTCCGTTCGGTTATGTTATGTGGTGAGGGTGCAGCCGGGGCCCATGAGATAGAGTCGACGGTAATCCTATGTGGTGCGATTCGCATAGAGTAGGCGATTCTAGGGTCGTGCGGGGCTGGGAAGTTTAATTATATACAGTAAGCGTATGCGCTAATCAGACAGTTTA